TGGAGCTTAGAGATGCATTAAAATTCCATTAATTCAAACTCATTTTGTTGACAGAGTTAAACAGTGGCTGCAATTTTTATGCTTCAACTGGTAAAGGCAACCCCTCAGCCACAAGGGACTCCAAACATTTATGGTGACAGCAACAGAAAAAAATGTTATTCTTTTAAAGTAATTCTTTATCATGTGGAAACTAAAAGACCTTTCCTGAATTATTGGCATAGTACCATCTTGTCTTCTAAAAGCCTCAAAACCAACTGATAACATGATTGTGTCTTAAATAAAATATAAATTAAAAGCAGAATCTGTAAACTTAAATGACCAGATTGTAACCTCAAATACTTGTAATGTTTGAAATTGGACAGTGATATAGCAATAGTTACTAGAAAACTGTCTGCAATATACATCATGTGCCAAGGGTGTTGACAGGATCAACAATAACAAATTCTATCAATTACTAAAGTGAAGTGTGAAATTGATTTCTATTGACATAATGCAGTATTTGAAATAGATACTGAGGAGGTTGATACTGGAATAAATCTCTGATTAAGTTTAGAATAGGTTTGCAACTCGTATCAAATACTCAAGGGTCCACATACATCACAATCTTAAATCCCTGAAATTTAGATTTTCAACTTAACAAGATTTATTCATCTTAACCTTCAAAAATAATAAACATAGTTGACCAAGGTTGCCCATGAACTTATACCATGATGTCTAATCTATGAAAGTCAAGGATGACTATTTTTAGTATAAAAAATAAATATTGTATATCTAAGTTTTAACTCCTACATTAGGTGATTATTTCAGAAAAATTAGAAATAGTCAAAGTCAAAATAGCTTTTGCCATAATATTATATATTAATAATAAAATAATACAAATTAATCTGGAAAGGGCTTTGAACAACTTACTCTGCAAAAATGTCAGATTGTCATCAAGAAAAAACTTGTCTTGACAAACAGATTGATGATGGTGACAATCCTTAGATTTCCCCCTACAATCCCCAATTCTTTTTACCCCATCAATTTGTTTCAATCATGATTATCTTTCTTCATGCAAAGTTTAAGTAACAATTTTTTGCACTAATTTAAATTTTCATCCTTGAAATTATAATTAAAACATGTCACAGAATATGTACTAAAGTATCAAAGTTTAATACATTCATGTGTAAATATGTTTATGTGATGAAAAATTTCTCATTAGTAAACAAGAGCAATCAGTGATCACATGTGTCGCCTCATGATGGCCAATTTCATGTTGGGACAAGTTTTGTGACAGACGGACAGTGCCCAACTAGACTTGGTACTGATCATTCCTGTAAAGTTTGGACAAAATTGCACCAGTAGTTTATGAGGAGTAGTCCGGACAAGCTTTTGTGTATCTGGCATTACACAGAAAAAAACACCTTTTTATCAAAGGGCCATAACTCAGCTAAATTTCATTCAACCAGAAACCCATGCAATATGCGCAAGGACTTGAGCTACAGATCAATCCTTAGTAAAGTTTCATTGAAATTGCATTAGTGGTATAAGAGAAGTAGTCTGGACAAACTTTTAAAATAAACATTATTAAAGGGCCATAACTCTGACAAAAATTATTGAACCGGAAAATGCTGACAATATGCACAACTAGACTTGGTACTGATCATTCCTGTAAAGTTTGGATGAAATTGCACCAGTAGTTTATGAGTAGTCCGGACAAGCTTTTGTGTATCTGGCAACACACAGAAAAAAAACACGTTTTTATCAAAGGGCCATAACTCAGCCAAAAATCATTCAACCGAAAAACCTGTGCAATATGCGCAAGGACTTGAGCTACAGATCAATCCTGTAAAGTTTCATTGAAATTGCATTCGTGGTATAAGAGAAAAAGTCCGGACAAACTTAAAAAATAAAAATTATTAAAGGGCCTTAACTCTGACAAAAATCATTGAACCGGAAAATGCTGACAATATGCACAACTAGACTTGGTACTGATCATTTCTGTAAAGTTTCAATGAAATTGCACCAGTAGTTTATGAGGAGTAGTCTGGACAAGTTTTGTGACGGACGGACAGACGGACGGACAGACAGACGAACAGACAGACGACGGAGAAGTGATCCCTATATGTCGCCACTACTCCGTAGAGGCGACACAAAAATGATATCTCTTTTTATAGTTTTACAGTGTTCATATTATATCATTCTAATCTATAAGTTCAAAACCAATGAATAACTGTAATGAAATCAGTATATAACCTCTAGTTGCAAGTATAAATAATGCATGGATTCTTATATATAATTTATTATGGTTGTTATTCCTACTTTATTTGTACACTATAGCATTATTGCAATACATACAGACCTTTCCTAATTATCCTTAAAAATTGCAAAACACAAGATAACTTTTTTAATCGGCCTAAAAAATTTGTAAAGCATAAGGTAACTTTCTTAATTAGCCTTACAGTCTTGCAATACATAGATAATTGCTTAATTAGCCTGATGAAATTGCAATACATAAATAATTTTTCATATTGATAGTTTTCTTAATTAGCCTTACATAATTGAAAACTATACATTTTTTAAAAAAAATTTATATGACATAATTAAAATACAAAGATATCTTTACTAATTAACCTTAACATTATTGCAATACAAAGATAATTTTCTTATTTAGCCTTACATTATTGCAATATATATTTAATTTCTTAATTACTATATTGCAATACATAAATAATTTTCTTAATTAGTCTTATGTTATTGCAATACTTAAATGATTTTCTCAATAAGCCTTACTTAATTGCAAGACATAGATTATTTTATTAATTAGCAATACGTAATTGCATTGCTCAAATTAAGTATTATACAAAATTTAATGAATATTGTATATTCATCTTTATTATAAAATTCTCCAATTATACCTTATCTCAATCATAATACCCTACCAAAACTGATAACAATTGCATAGACTTATTTTTATATTTATATAACATTTTCCTTTTCTCCTTATTTTATTATAAAATCCACATTTTCACACAGCACAATTGTATCTAATGCAGGCAATCATATTAAAAAACACTGCATAACAACATATCTGTATTCCATCTGAATTGCCCGCAACTTAATCAAATTTTCTCTATTGTAAGAATTGAAGGTATACAAATACAATATATAAATCCTGTATTGACAGCCTGGCAACATCTGGGAGGTAAAAATTGTACTCACTATCAACATCATTGAAATCTGTCACAATTACATAATGTACGATTTGGGTTTATGACAAAACAATTGGTAAAATCTAGACGTATAACCAAAGCAATTCAAAGAAGTCTGTCACCATAATTAAGTATAAACAGCTTTGCCAATTAAAATCTTCATTATTGGAAAAAGAAGCCGAGGTACAAATCATGACAGTTCTTTTAGCTGACAAGTTTTCTAGCTTGTTTCATGCCATATAAACCACCAACAGACCTATACACAATCATAAAATGAACTCTAGATTGTTGAAATCACCTTAAATAACATACATGGTAAATATCACCTGCATGTCCGTGTAAAACATTTCTGTTTCAAACAAATATTTCTGGAAAAAAAGTCAACATAACAACAAAGGCTTATCCATCAGCTGAAGGCCAAGATACCAAGCTATACACAGTTGATACTGTATTTCTCTTTATGTTTCCCTGTCTGTCCATAATCACAATGCATATATCTTTGTTATACGTGAATTCTAACAAAGCAGTCCAAAGGACAGCCAATTATCACCACTGCGATAATTTTATAGCAATGCAGCTGACCATTATCAAGGACAGTTGAACGAGTTCTTATAGTACAGTTTTAGGAATTTAGATTTTAAAGCATGTATGATCTGACCTTGGGTTTTAATCCAAAACTGCAAGACTTGGACAATTTCATCAGCCAACTTTTACACACGAATAAAAAAGATTTTGACCTGTAATTATAACTGTAGCCTTAAGTTAGTAGAAATAACCCATGCCTTCTGCACATCATTTCAGTGAACTGAGCATTTGAGCCAAATTTCATGAAAATCCTTCAAAGAATTTGGGAGATATGGAATGGACACAAGATGCAGACTCAAATATTTGACCTTAAAAGTGTGATCTTGACCCAAAATGGCCAACTCATGCCTTCTGCCCATCTCAGTGAGTTTAAAATTTGAGCCAAGTTTCATGAAAATCCTTCACAGAATGTGGGAGAGATATTGCACGGAAACATACATGTTACGGACAAAATGCAGTCAGACTGACAAAGGGCATTCCTAAAATCCCCCCCATTTCGCAGTGTAGGTTTAACAATTAATTCTTCCCTGTCATCAATGCTTTACTCTGTTAGATATTGTTACTTTTGTATCAATAGAATGAGAATGTAGGATTTACAACTGATTTTCAGTTGTGTTCATAGCAGCTGTGTCATCTCGAATGTTGAAAATATTCCTGATGTTTTGTGTTAGGTGCAGCTTCATTCAAACAAGTTTCATCCAGTAGATCTTCATGTTCAACTAGCATATGTATTTATTTTTCTGCAAGTTTTGTGTAATCCACATTGTCTAGCTCTGTTGTCCTCAATCAAAACTTAATCAGACGTTCTTCTTTTTGTGTTCCATCGGGTATTAATTGTATACGATGACATACTTGGTGTTGGGCTACCCTTTTGTACAGCATAATTTTGTTGACAATACATAATTATACATGTATTAGACATGAGAGATAATAATCTATTTTGAACAACTTGTTTACCATTAAATATTGTTTTGTTGTTGTTTTCTTTTAAATATCATCAAGCACAAGAAGGAAATCATACTAATCATATAGCACTCTATGAGTCACAATGTGTCAGACAAACATCATGCTTAAATATCATGCATAAATAAACTTACCATAGGGATATCAACAAACATGGTTATTCACCAAGGCCTGGAGTCATATCTAGAAAAACTCAGTAACTAAATCTCTATCACACTAAATAACCTTATGTTTCATGTATCTATACAGATTGGTACTTACTGCATTAAATTGAGCACAGACTTTGTTGAAGGCATCTATCCACCGAGCTCTAGCCGGGGATGGCATTGTGTTATTACTTCTGGAATCATATAATAAATCTGGGTCACTATACTCCTGCGTACTCTGACGACTCATGTTTGTGGAAGACCGACTGTTTAATGGACTGAAAATACGAGGGCAAAATATATAGTCTAGAAATGTATGGTCATAATTAATAAAACAGTCAAACCTGTGGTAAAGACCAAAAGAGATCACCCTGTAAATTCTTTGACAACCCTTCATTGATTACATAGAAAGAAGTAACCCCCTAAAACCCTTCATTAATTACATAGAAAGTAATTGCATAGAAGTAACCCCCTAAAACCCTTCCTTGATTACATAGAAAGAAGTAACCCCCTTTTATAAAGCCCACATGTCTATAAAGGCAATGTTCAGTCTCTCCCTTTGAAGACCTTAATTTACAGGTATGACTCACTGTATAATTATACATTATAAAATTCTACTCTTATGGATCAATTCAAAAACTTACATTTAAAAGGATTATATAAGTAACTTACAATATTCTTACATCCAAAATCCATGCACAAAATACTGCAGTATCTGAGTGTACTGTAATGTTATAACAGTTTCTCACTTAAATTATAGCCCTTTTTAATGGACATTTTAAATTGGACCAAGCTGAAATAAATTATCCAACAAAAATATAAATGTAAAATACTTCTTTGTAGGTTAAATAAGTTAACAAATGTAGCATTTAGAAACCCTTTATATAATAATATTTACTTCGTTCAAGAAGTATCTATTTTGGCACAAATCAACCATACTTGACTATTTAAAAGTGAAAATATTAACACAATTTCCTTTGGCTCTTTAATGACCTTTATCTTGAAGGTTGATATTAACATAATGTTCAAAACAACTAACAATTCTGAAGAGAGCACTATATGGCAATGTTTTAGTTCTAAGAATGTTGAGAAGGTGCTAAGAAGTCATATCAATAGCGTCATTCACACCAAGCTCTTTGCTCTACACGAGTCACTTCCATGAAAAAAACTCTGCTTATTTTAGATTAATGGACTCTTACAATTCTTTTTAAATTGCAAAAGTTTGCTTTATAATTTTTATCATTACTATGTTTCAAAACTGCAAACAAAATAACTTATTTTACTATCGATTATTTTTTCTTATTTCACTTTTGATTATTTTTTTCTAATTGCTATTTAGTTTTAAATCTTTGGGAAAATAAGGTTGATTTTAATTATAATCAGATTGCTTGTTACTGCAAATTAACCAATATGTAATACATTGTCTAGCAAATTACAACCAAACTATTTAGGTACTAAATTCTGATATAATCCAGAATATGTTTTGTATAGACAAACATGTATACAAGAAACATGTATACTAACAAACTAATATAATTATTTATTACATGCTTTTCGGTGGTTTATAGAAATATATCAGTGATATAAAACTGATAATTTCACTGTTTCAAACAGTGAAATTATCAATTTGATAATCTCACTGTTTTGAATTTAAGCCCCTTACGTTGTTTCAGTGTAATACCAGCCTGTACAATACTGGGAACTAACTTAATGACGTGACGTTGTAAATGACGTCATGTTGTATTATTATTTGACGCGCTTTTCATTCAGTTTTAGGTTTAATGTCTTTTTAAAACATTTCTTTGCATATAATAAAAAGAAAATTTGTTTAGTTTTGTGTAAAATCGAAATATATTTCACATTAACAACACCAAAAGTTCATATTTCACTCGTAGCTGCGCCACTCGTGAAATATACCTTTTGGTGCTCACTCGGTGAAATATATAGTCTGATCTTACACTGAACTAAACAAATATCCTCTATTATTATCCTCTGTAACTACAAAAACACAATAATTTATTGAATTGAGTATTACACACTATTACATCTTTCCATGTGATTTACCAAAGGACGTAATTATGATTTATCAATGACAAGGTGACATACATCGTTTATGTGTGACGACTCAAATAATTCAAATATATATTTTTTTTAACATTTTACTACCTGCTTTATTGCTTTTTGAATTTTAATTATAATTATTGTTCCCCTGATAATATATATATATTGCTGCCAATATCTTAATTGTCTCTCAATCTTAGTGATTTAAACATGGACAAGTCATTCAGATTTCTATTCACTTACGATTTAAATTTTGTTTCACATCAACACTAATATATATAACAAAAAAATACAGGTTTATGAAAAAAATCTAAAAATAATGCAATGCAAATTTTTTTATACATCAATGGTTTTTGTGACAACATACATGTATATAACATGTGTCATTAAATAATTGCCCTAAATAGCATGCTTGAAAGTATGATTGAGTGGAAGACCTCAGAGCCCCATCTGTGCATTATTTCAGGCTCAAGCAACCAACAATATTTTGTAAGCTCACTGGATAGCTAGTATCCTAAGTACCTAGTGAGATTTGAACCCACAGCAATAAGGGGCAAGCGGTTTTGAACTTAATGCCCTCAACCACTCGGCAAAGTTCGCATTTCAAATAAGATTTTTAAAATGGAATCCTCTAAGAGTAACAAGATCTGATTTATAATTCATATTATATATTCCCTTGCCTTGACAATTTATTTTATCCCATAATGAAAATTTATTTTTAGGATATAACTTAATTGGTTTTTCCACTATATGCATTTCCTGATATTCATCCATCTTTTCAACCAATGAATAATTTAGAAAATCATCATTTTCACTGTCATATGAATTTAGCAGTTATGTTCTAAACATAAGGGAAATGTTCAATTATTGTAAAACAACACTTGTTAACAGAAAATATGATTGATACTCTAACTTTATGTTGAACTTTATAAACATTTAGAGGTCAAAGATAGATCTAAAGAATTCAGCAAGGATGACATAAATTTAATGCAAAAGTTTACTGGCTAAATTTGTGTTATTAACTTATTACTTTTGTCAGATAATATTTTCTTTATGTATGTTTTTTCCTGTGCTTCAATTAACAGAAAAAATTACTGTATTTTACAATTTAAGAGTTTTTTTTATGAATATACTGTATATAATTATCAGACATGGATGTGAGGCTTGTTGCCTTCTTTAGTTTAAGAGCGACAACTTTGAGTAAATACAATGACTTAATTGATTAAAATTTCCTCTAGTATCGTTCTTGCCAGAATATCTCATTGGGTGCTCAATATGAGTAATTTGAAATCAAAATTCCTTCAATTTAACAATGGAAGAATTTAATCCAAATTTGAAAACAGGGCATGTCAAATTTAAACAAGTAAAGCATGATGATGATATACCGGTACTTATTGCTAGAAAGGTAAAGTACCTGTTTCCCCCAGAGTCAGAAGTCGCATGCTGAGACTCTATACTGCTAGGTGGTAATTTTCTACCTTCTAGCATAGACTCATACTGTGTTTTGTTAACTCCAATTTTTGCAAATTCATGCTGAGTTTGCCGATCCTCTAGCTGTTTAAACTGATACTGAGTTTCTGTGGTATTTTGTTGTATAGATTTATACTGGGTTTCTAAAGGTGAGATCCTGGCATAATCTACTAAGTTCTTCTGATCAGAGAGCTCAGAGAGCTCGTTAGTCCATTTACATTTAGCAAAGTTAATATGCTCTTCCGAGCAGCTATCTATTTGCTCATATTCCTCATCATCTGTTAGGGTATCAGAAATATTTGTCTTTGTTTTAGAAGGTTTTATAAAGCACTCCAGCAATGATAGAAATAAACCCATTTCACACACATTACTCCTTTCACTTTAAATTCATTTAACTGAAATCTTTCTCTTCAAGAACCATACACTTGCTTATTTCAAATAAAAAATAGTCCATTTTGAATTTTTGGGTTTTCTTTATCAATACATAGAAATTTAAATATGAACCGCTAGGCATAACATTAACATTTTTGTCTTTCACATTTTACTCTGATCCAAATACAGTTCTCCAATTAGATCTTACAAAACAATGAAAATGGTAATTATATTTTCAAATTATTTCAAATTATACTGTAGAATAGCTTCAATACAATAACGCCTGTATAGCCTTCTTTCATTATATACCTGTACCTAGTGTTACATTTGAATAAACATTATCACCTATTTTATTATTATTTAAGCTTACAACTTTTGTATCAAATATTTTTCTTTTTAAGTCAACAGTCCCATAATAATATTGGATCAATCATTAATACATTTATAAATCCATTTGCTGAATTATTTTGAAATAACTTTACACAACTTTCACTGAAATGTGTTTTCGAAACAGCCTGACACAGACAATATACGCATTATGTTGTATTATTTTAATTAGCCGCGTGTATTGTTTCATGTGAAATCATCTGTTATACAGGTAACAATGACTATGGTGAGGATAGATAGATACAATACCAAACACCAGATGTTCTATCATCATCACCATACAAATATATCATATGTATATATCATAATATATACAACAAAACTTTCAAAGTTATAATATTGGTGTATGTATTCATATTATTAATTTTTTAACCCTAAACCAGCTGGTTTTCTTTAATGATGCCCTGCATTGAAGTTTGGACTTTCCATTTCAAGTCCAAGGGATTTTAATTTAAACAAGAGCAGTGCAAGCAGGGCACTCTACTATTTGCAGTGCTGGGATACAGTATAGTTCTTGTGCACTGCACATCTACCCAATGAAATCTATCTACTTACAAAGTTTCACGTTGATATCACTTAATAGTTTTAGAGTTATGTCCCGGACAAGATTTTTCTAAGAGGGGAGATAATTCAAAAGCAGGGCATAACAGAGTTATGGTTCTTTGACATTGCACTCTGCCTCAAAGCCCTCTACCACTGTGAAAAGTTTAAACAAATTTTCTTTGAGGGTTTTCAAGTTATGCTCAAGTCAAGCACAATGTACAGACAGACAGATGGACAAGGCAGCGACTATATGCTCCCCCTTTGGGGAGCATAAAAATTGCATGAAAAGAGTGATTTATGTTGATAGTTAAATTATGTTTTGTTTTTTCTTAGGGTTTAACAGGGGGTAGTGGAAATACTGACACCAAAAATTACAAATAAGGATTAAATTTGAAATTCATATACCTGAAATCTTGGGTGCTCTGTTGTGTTAATGATGATATTCTACTGCCAGGACTTACAGCACTTCCATGAGGACTCCTGAAACATAACACAAGATTAATATCCACTTTATGTGAAATCAGGCAACATTTCAATAACTTTTCAAAAATTCAAGCTTTATTTGACATCAAAGTTTCCAGGAATCTTGAGAAAATGGAGACCACTCGAGAGCAATGTATACAAAGGACAGACTTGGTATAATTGAGTCTCTTCAAGAGATATAATGAAATGAGCAACATTTTTCATCCCCCCCCCCACCGGCTCGAGTGATGTTCAATCCTCTAAACTAAAAGTATTGGAATCAATGATCAAGGACCAGAAAAATATAGCAAGGAAGATGTGCAAAAAGTTAGGAAAGTAGATGCTACTCTATCACACTTTTCTCACTGCAAAAATACTTTCAATCAACAAATAAAGTGCTTTAAATTAATTATTAATTGGCTTTGCCTTTAACGAAGAGATGTCGTTTAAAGTAAAAGTTTAAGGACAGATGGATGACAGCCTGTCACTTTGTGACAGGTGAGCTAAAAAACAAACCCAGACAATATGCACCAGTGCACTTGATGACAAAGCTTCTGTGAAAGTTTTATTAAAATCCTATGAAAAATGTAGGAGGAGTTGCGCACAGAAGAAATTGTTCACTATATATTCCATATAAGGAAAAAAACAAAGGGCCATATTAAGGTCAACATTAGCGAATCTCAAAAACCTGACAATATTTGCCAGGGCACTTTATGACAAAACTTCTGTGAAAGTTTCCTCAAAATCCCTTGAGAAATGTAGGAGTTGTGCACAGAAAATTGTTAACGCCCGCCCATCTGCCCAGACATGCCGACATACCTCAGTCCAATAACCAGTTTTTTCCTTCCAAGAACCTTGTTAAAAACAACATTAATCACATATACTTACACATAATTATATTCCAGCCTCATTTTTCTTTTTATAATAAATCCAAATTGTTGAAATATATCCACAAAATTGAAAGCTTAAAATAAACACAAGTTAACCAAAAACTATAACCACTTTAACAGGTGACAAATTTATTGCTCTCCAATAAATTGCTATTTTCTTTTAAGTAAAAGTTAAGAAAAATTATGATCTAAAGCTGTTATATGAAATTGCGCAAAGTTAGAGATAAATTGAACAAAGCATCAATCAATATCAAGTTAAAGATTGATGGTTTAAACACTTTTCTGTTGCTACTTTCAAGACATTCATTTTTAGATCAGGTAATAAATTACTGTAGCATCATCATATGAATTAACCACACAAAATTGTTAGCAAATAGAAGAAACAATCCTTATATTTCATTGTTCTATGGTGCTAACTGCTTTATTGATTGAAAAAAAATCTTTGTCACTAAATATCTCAACTTTAACCATCCCTAAAAGGCTGAATAAAGGTCCTTTTTAATTGGTGAACATGGCTGTATCATTTAAACCATTGGACCATCAAAAATCTGTATAACTTATTATATAGAAGTATATAGGACACCATTATCATGAAAGTACATAATGCATTTTAAGGGTTTTTGAAGGCATGTACCATTGTTGCATTTTCAGTTAAAGCACTAAACAAAAAAGTGAAGAAAAAGTAAAAAAAAACACTTTTATTACATGTCATTATCATTTATCCTACAAATATGTATAGATTCCATTTCAATAAGATTGTTTCCATTTACAAAATCTCCAAAAAAACATTTACGACGTTCTATCTTCTAAAAAGAAAATAACAAGAAGCTCATGATGGCCCTGGATTGCTCTCCTGAGATATGAGCCGAGTCACGACAAAACCAACATAGTGCGTTTGCGACCAGCATGGATCCAGACCAACCTGCGCATCCACGCAGTTTGATCAGGATCCATGCTGTTCGCTTACCAACTCTATTACAAGAAGAGAAACTGATAGCAAAAAGCATGGATCCTGATCAGGCTGCACAGATGTGCAGGCTGGTCTGGATCCATGCTGGTCGCAAACGCACTATGTTGGTTTTGTCGTGATGCTGCTCATATATTGCTAGAAATGGTCACATTTTTTTATTTTTAAATGTAAAGGTCAGTAATAAGGTCACATATTGTCATATTTGATGTCATTTCCAAGCTGCATATTTTTTTAAAAAATATTTGAAGATGTCTGCTACAAAATGTTAAAAATCAAATATCTAAGCTCTTGGCATTGTAGTTTTATAAAAGAAAATGTTTTTAAGTTTGTTTTTGACTTAGAACTGATTAAATATGACCAAATCACAATTACATATAAGGGACGCACAAGAATGCTTAGTAAGTTTGAAGTTCAGATATGACAAGCAATTTCAGAAATTCTTGTTCCTGCCAGACACTTGTAATATAAAAGCTTAACCTGGAACCCAAATTCTGATGACTTTATACAACAAATTACTAAAATTACTACTTGTATCAAGCTGTTATAAATGTTGACTTACCCGTGTCTACCTGTAAGTGTTGTGGAGGCATTAGACAATGGTTGACGTTGATTTGGACGACTATTATAAGAGAGAGGTTCAGAGTCTGTGTCACTCCTACCTACATGGGAACCACTTCCCATTGGATAAAAGTCTGACTCTCGTGAGTAATTTTGAGATTCCCTTGAATAACTCCTATTTTTATTCAATTGTTCTTGTGAATCATAATAGAAATCGCGATCATACCGCTGTTCAAACGCTCTCCTATCATATGTAACACTATCCTCATTAGTCACCGTTCTATCATAGTCAGGATGTGAATATGCATATTCCTGGTCAGAATCATAATCCCTATTTGAGCTATGGTGGGAACCAAGTTCCAGTCTTTCGTAGTCTCTGATTGGACGATCATATCCATCTTCGTCGTATCTATCATCCTGTATGGATCTTTCATATTCAGTGTCAGATCTTTCATAACCATAATGATCAGACTCCCGCTCAAATGACTCCGTTCTCTCAAATGAATCACCTCGCTCATATCCTATTTCATCACCATCGAAAGAAACATCCTGATCAAAAGAACCGCCCCTTTCATAGGAACCTCTACGTTCCATGTCAATACGATCAAAAGAGGGCAGCCGACCATATTCATCTCTATCAAAGGAATCATATGGACCATAATCCCGACTGTATTCTTGGCTATTTTCATGGTTAAGTGGGTAATTAGGTTCACCGCGGAACTGGTGGGCGGAGCTGTTGTGTTGGTGGGGTAATGGGTAATTTATATCGCTGGTATAGTCGCTGTCTTCTGACATTCCCGCTATAAAATAAATACAGATCTGTTTATATAATATCATTCAACCTATTCTTAGTTTGTGTAACTGTCCTGCTATGTTTTAAATTTACTTTTTAATTTAATTCTTTTTTAATTTTTTTTTATTTCACTTCTTTAAGAGATTTCAAAAAATTTAAATTTTGTGCAAAATTTCCAAAATTCCCCCTACCAATATCAAAAGTTTGAAACAGTTAACAAGTAATTTCAGATGTCAGATTTCCTACAGCCACACAGATTGACATATTAATATTCAGAATAAAATTAATCAGACATTAAAAAGGTACTAGTGGTAAGAGAAAAGACCTAGGATAGCCAGATGTCAGAATACAATATAATGTGTGATTAAATTTGCCATTGTTCTCACTGCTGCTGTGCTAGATGATGGCAGAATTGCTTTTATAGTTGAAACATTGTGGAGAGAGCTACTATGATCAAGCGCACACACTTATTATCACTAGGGAAGGAATTGAAATAATTAGCAAGTATTTTCAACGCTGTCAAGATTCTTATTTTCTTAAACTGACTGAACCTTCTTAAGGCATGTTCATGAAACAATAATACATTAGCACAGGATAAAGTAAAAAGTACTTTAAAGGGGTTCCACTAAAGTATTTTATATCATTGGATAGGAAATTATGACTTTTAGTGTGTTCAATTAAACCTACTAGTTAGCACATTTGCACAAACATGGACTTGCGATATCAATTTATCATGAAAGACATTAATTTTACAAGAGCCACCGTCAGGCAGGGGCAACACTCGACCTTCTTTACTTTTTCTAAAAGCAAACAAATAACTGGTTTAAACAAAATTTTAAAAAGAAAATTAAAGAAAAAAAAGTTTAAAAATTCAATAATTTGACCTTGACAGTCAAGGTCATTTAAAGCTCAAGGTCAAGATTAATTCAACCTTCCTAAAGTTTTTTTGTCCAAGTATAATCCATTGATTAATTACAAAGTTACAGCCAATTATATAGCAATAATCATTGAAAATTCAATAATTTGACATTCAAGGTCAAGGTCATACATGATTCAAGGTCAATTTGAGTTTGATATATGAAGGTCCTGATCTAAAAGATGTTGCTTCTAAATATGAAGTTAATTTATTTATAAATAACAATGTTTTGGTTACAGAAAAAAAACACGAGAATTTCATTAATTTTACCTTGATGGTAAAGGTCAATTACAGGTCAAGGTCACATCTTAATTATTCAATATGTTTGTTTAGTAGCAAGTCTCTTTTGTCTAAATATAAATCAAATCCATACATAAATAACAAAATTATGACAATTTAACCAAAATTCAATAATTTGACCTTGATGGTCAAGGTCATTCAAAGGTCAAGGTAAGTTCAACCTCTTAGAAGGCCTTGACCAAAATGTTGTTTTGTCCAAGTATGAAGATAATACATTTATCACTTACAGTCAATAATAGCAAAAATCAGTGAAAATTAAATTCAACATTTTAACCTTCAAGGTCAAGGTCATAAAGGTCAATTTGAGTTCAATATACATGAAGGTCATATACTAAAGAATGTTGTGTCTTAATATAATGTCAATCCATTCATTAATAAGCAAGTTATAGCCAGTTACAGCAAAACAAGAGGGCCATGATGGCCCTGAAATCGCTCACCTGTATATAGGCACCCGGGGCAGGGACAACTTTAACCCAAGGGAATTTATTTGAACAAACTTGGTAGACACCCATTTGAAGATGTTTCATGATAAATATCTAAGCTCTAGCTGTAAGAAGATTTTTTTAAAGTTTTTACTATACACATATAGGGAAAAACAATGACCCCCCCCCCCCCCTCTGGGTGGACCCAATTTTGTCTCCAGGTCTTTTATTTGAACAAACTTGGTAGACACTCACTAGAAGATGTTTCATGCTTAATATCTAAGCTCTAGCTATTTGGGCTTTTTAAAAGATTATTTTTTAAGTTTTTACTATATACATATAAGGAAAATCAATGATCCCCTGGGCAGGGCCAATTTTAACCCAAGGGCCCTTATTTGAACAAAAATGGTAGACACCCATTAGAAGATGTTTTATGCTAAATATCTTAGCTCTGGCTGTTAGGGTTTTTTAAAAGAAGACTTTTTAAGTTTTTTACTATATACATATTAAGAAAATCAATGATCCCCGGGTTTAGGCCAATTTTAATCCAAGGGCCCTTATTTGAACAAAAATGGTAGACACCCATTAGAAGATGTTTCATGCTAAATATCCTAAATCTAGCTCTTTGGATTTTTTAAAAGAAGATTTTTTAAGTTTTTACTATATACATAAAGGAAAAACAATGACCCCCTGGGGCGGGGCCAATTTTGACCCCAGGGCTTTTATTTGAACAAACTTGGTAGACACCCACTAGAAGATGTTTCATGCTTAATATCTAAGCTCTAGCTATTTGGGCTTTTTAAAAGAAGATTTTTTAAGTTTTTACTATATACAAATAAGGAAAATCAATGACCCCCGGGGCGGGGCCAATTTTGACCCCAGGGCATTTATTTGAACAAACTTGGTAGACACTGACTAGATGATGTTTCATGCCAAATATTTAAGCTCTAGCTCTTTCAGTTTTCTAAAAGAAGATATTTTAAGTTTTTTCTTTCAGTTGCCATGGCAACCAGAGTTCTGCTTAGAATTTAATTCTTTGAACAATTTTTAAAGTTGACTACCAAAGTAACATTCCTGTGAAGTTTGGATGAAATTGGCTTAGTGATTAATGAGAAGATGTCATTTAAAGCAGAAGTTTACAGACGGACGGACGACGGACGAAAAGCGATCACAAAAGCTCACCCTTTCACTTTGTGACAGGTGAGCTTAAAAATTCAATAATGTGAACTCAAGGTCAAGATCATTTATGAGTGAAGGTCATTGTCTGCCTGATATTGAAGATTGTTATGAAGACAATCCATTCCAAAATAACAAAGTTTTAGCCACTAATAGCAAAATCATTAAAAATCAAGCAAAATTTAGACATTTGACCATTCATGAATGAAGGTCAAATAAATTCTGGTCTACTTGAAGGTCTAGCTTGTCCAAATGATTGTTGGTGGCTAAGTATGAAGACAATACACCCAGAATTTAAAAGTTATGATCAATGATAAAGTTTTGGGGATGGCAACAGCAACACCACCATGACTGTAACAATACCTCAGACAGAAACTAAAACTTAACAGAATAAGCTGCTATAAAATCGCTAATTAAAACATTTAAGACAGTTTTACCATATGAAGAGAAAGCATAAATCTTTTAACTTACACTGAGAATATGTTTGTCTCTTTGATAGTTCTTTACTGTGCATGATCTGAAAAAATTGAACAATATTTCAAAATAATTATTACATGTAAACATTAGCTAATTGGTCAAGCTGTATGTCTCTAAACAAAGGTAAAAAAAAATCGGTTATATTAAATTATTACCCCTCACTATTTTTTTAATGTTAATTTCCCATCGTCAATGGGAGTTACTCTTCCTGTTAATTCAAGTGTACCATGTGACTAAAAATTTTGCACTGTTACATAGGTAACAGTACTTTTTCACAGTAAAAATCTGAACAAGAAACATGGCAATGCCACGAAACCAGGTTTTCAATTATCTCCATTGTAGATAAATATGTTGTATTTGAAATACAAATACAAGCAATAAACAATGTAACTATGTGCAATGTAAAACATGAATAATGTAGGAGGAATTGCCACAGAAGAAGTGTTCACTATATATTCTGTATAAGGAAAAAATATATTCTGTATAAGGAAAAAAAAACAAAGGGCCGTAATTAGGTCAAAAATTATCCAATCACAAAACCTCTACAATATGCGCCAGGGCACTTGATGATATGGCTTCTGTGAAAGTTTGAACAAAATCTGTTGAGAAATGTAGGACTAGTTCAGCACAGAAGAATTTGATCATTATATATTGAGGAAAAAAAAACAAAGGGGCATAATTAGGTCAAATATTATCAAATCACAAAACCCCGACAATATGCGCCAGGGCACTTGATAACAAAGCTTCTGTGAAAGTTTGATCAAAATCTGTTGAGAAATGTAGGAGAAGTTGCGCACTGTAGAAATTGTTCACTATATATTCTGTATAAGGAAAAAAAACAAAGGGCCGTAATTAGGTCAAAAATTATCCAATCACAAAACCTCTACAATATGCGCCAGGGCACTTGATGATATGGCTTCTGTGAAAGTTTGAACAAAATCTGTTGAGAAATGTAGGACTAGTTCAGCACAGAAGAATTTGATCATTATATATTGAGGAAAAAAAAACAAAGGGGCATAATTAGGTCAAATATTATCAAATCACAAAACCCCGACAATATGCGCCAGGGCACTTGATAACAAAGCTTCTGTGAAAGTTTGATCAAAATCTGTTGAGAAATGTAGGAGAAGTTGCGCACTGTAGAAATTGTTCACTATATATTCTGTATAAGGAAAAAAAACAAAGGGTCATAATTAGGTCAAATATTATCCAATCACAAAACCCCGATAATATGTTCCAGGGCACTTGATAACAAAGCTTCTGAGAAAGTTTGGTCAAAATCCGTTGAGAAATGTAGGAGGAGTTGCGCACAGCAGAAATTGTTCACTATATATTCTATAAAAGGAAAAAAAACAAAGGGCCATAATTAGGTCAAATATTATCCAATCGCAAAACCCCGATAATATGTGCCAGGGCACTTGATGACAAAGCTTCTGTAAAAGTTTGGTCAAAATCTGTTGATAAATGTAGGAGGAGTTGCGCACAGAAGAAATTGTCCACTATATATTCTATATAAGAAAAAACAACAAAGGGCCGTAATTAGGTCAAATATTATCCAATGGCAAAACCCCGACAATATGCGCCAGGGCACTTGATGACAAAGCTTCTGTGAAAGTTTGGTCAAAATCCGTTGAGAAATGTAGGAGGAGTTGCGCACAGAAGAAATTGTTTACGCCCGCCCGCCCGTCCGCCCATCCGCCCGCCGACATACCTCAATCTAATAACCAGTTTTTTCCTTCGGAAAACCTGGTTAAAAATAAAAACTTACAGAAATAGTGTCCCAATGAAGTATTTGTTCTGGGTAATAAAATAAATTACACATAGGTTTGTGAGAAACAGAGAAAATATCACCCCTTGTAAAAATACTGTTTCCTCAGTTACTCAAAAGCCTATGTGACATTTATATAATGTAATGCTAGTATAACATCATTATTCTATTACCTGACATTTACTGTTAATCTGCATTAAAGGTAACTCTACCCGCTTATTGTTCATAATGAATTTACTAAGCTTTGAATTTGGAACAGTCCAATCTTTACTAAGCTTTGAATTTGGAACCACCCATTCAAAGTTTAAGGGATGTCAAGATTGAAATATTGAGCTACCAACGTCCATAGACCCTTGTCAGACTGGATGAATGTGCAGGCTGGACTGACTCCATACAAGTAGCAAAAGCTTATCATTTTCAGTCCCAACAGGTTTAAATAGCAATATAAACTGTTAAATATCACTAAACAAACACCATAATCAGACAAAAATAAATTTAGAAATAAAATTCAATTCTAATGGTTTTCACATAATAAAACTAAAAGCTTTGTTTTGCATTTAATTCGATTAAAATTCTTCACTGAATGAACCAGAAACGAGGATGTCGAGATATTGGGTTTGAATGATTGACAGGCAATTGTACCCTAACAAAATATTGACATCCTCTTATAAAATTGGAAGATAGGTTAACCCCAGATCAATAATCTTATCGTAATCAACATCATCTTCCTCACCCTCATTCATATCTTTCTCATTTTTTATTGTCAGACATATTAATTAATGTGTTTCTATGAAAATAACTCTTTTGTATAACAAAATCCATTAAACAAACACCATTCAACAAATAATACACTTATAAAATCCATGTGAAGGAAAAATTCATCACTATTGCGCGAAGAAAAATTTATCACTTTTGCTTATTTACTTATAGTTTTGTTTAAAAAAATACAACAGCTGATCTTTTCTTATTAATATTCAACATACAAAACTATGACTGAATAAAAATCTGAATAAAACAATAGAGAAGAAAGAAATGTAAAATACCTCAGCATCCATGTTATTAAGAACTTCCAATTTCTCTTTTAATTTAATAGCCTCATGTTCTGGGAGCTCGGCTACTGCTTCTGTAATGCACAATGTTATCATACTTAACAATCTATCTGTCTATAATCAAAGGGAAATAAATGTTACAATCTATATTAATAAATATGTGGAATATATCCAACACTAAGTCTCCCAATTCAAGAGATATATTCCCACAGGTCTGTTTCTTACTATTGCCTTGTCAGTGTATGAAAAACAGGAATTCAAGCATGAAAAACAATCTATTTTCTGTACAAAACTGTCATTCATTTGCGCTAGAGCTAGAGACAGAGGTATTAAGCGTTGCTAAAACAACTGATATTTCACCAGCATGCGAGCTTGTTAACTAGTAATAGTGCTAGAGGTATGAATTATTGAATAAATAATACTAATGTAACAACAGTTGAAAAAATACAAGAGTGATCATTATCATTAAATGGTAATCAACACTCAGTTTGTTTACATTTCTGCTTTTAACACAGTTACAGCGCATCAGGATTGAGTAAACATCAATTATTCATATGAGGCCAGTCTAAATATCACACAGTTTTAAAATAAATGACAAATTAGATAGAAATCTTCGTAATAATTGAGTAGGGATATTCTTTTCGAACAATGCATTCCAATAAAATAACACAGTAAATGTAAAAAATAATTCAAGTGAAACTCAAGTCTTTTCAATGATATCTCGTCAGTATGTTAAGTTTTATCTTAAGCAATTTAATTTGAAAACTAGTTGACAAGCTTAAAATATATCTAAAATACACAAGTTGTTGTTACAAGTTCTCACTTATAGATAATGAAGAGAATATGATCTATCTCAACAAATATGAACTTAATGACAAGGATTTAACAAGGCTAAATCATCTTCCTTCAAAAATTGAATAATTAGTAATCATATTAAAATATTTGGTTGTCAGTGATATAATTTTGCTGTATTTCAACAAACAATATCAATACATTGTGTTGTTTTAATGAAACATAACAGCATAGGTTCAAACCCCATCAGAGGCAAGTGGTTGTTTTCTTGAGCAAGAAACTTTACTCTTGTTGCTCAGTATTATTTAGTTCCAGGATCTTCCTACACAATTGAACTAAAATAAATTAATACAACAAATATGACATACCATACGGAATTTCAAATCTTGCTTCAATGAGTACCTTATGACCAGTAGGGTAACGTGTGCCTTTAATTTCTCCATTCTGCATGATTAACTCACTGTCTAGTGACATCCATTTACCATCCCCCTCCTACAACATACACACAATTTTCTGGTTGTAATAAAACCTCGAGACATATTAATCAAAATATACACAGAACAATACAGAGTTACTCCACAAGAAGTCATCATGGCTGGACAGAAATAAAGATAATTTTTTAAGAAGGCAATAAATGTAAGATTTCACTATGGACCATGAATCACATTCTGGTATCACATTCTGGTAAAGAAAAAGAATTTTAAGCTGACAAATGCAAAGGTTCATGGGAAGAATTTGTTTAAATTTTTTTTTTTAAGGTCCAAAGTCCTATAAAAAGAAGGTGGGAAGTAGTTATGATGATCAAACCTACAACAAGAAGTAAACATCCTGAGTTACTGACACCTAGTAAAAGATAGTGTCCTGTGTTTTATTTATATAAACAGCAGGAGGGCACTGAATGTCAGATCAAATGTTGAATATATCTAAATGCACTGCTTTGGATCTATTACAGAGTTTTGGTTTGGTATGTCAAGGCACTCACTGTCATACTTGAGTGCCTGCAGTAATGTTATCAAATTGACACATGTCATTTATTTCCAATATTGCATGAAAATACGAGGCAAAAATGGCAGAGAAATGAAATGGCTTGCTGTTCACATCATTAAAATATGTGGCAACAATTTCAGTGTAAGAGAAAACAAGTCAGTCCGCAAAGAAAGTAAAAGATTTCATATAAGCATAACAACAAATATGTTAAAGCATGAAATGTCAATATAATATTGAATTGTAAATATAAACAATGACTTGTCAATATCTAATCTACAGAAGGTCTATTGACTAATCAAAATAAACTGACGGGGTATTATTGGTGTTGCTGATGTTTCCATAAAATGACAAAATATAATTGCAGTTTTGATAGATGTAAGGACAAGAAGCCTTACCTAGGACAGTGACCTGTGTAGTCAGACTTAGAACTTGAAACCTAACCTAGGACAGTGACCTGTGTGGTAAACAGACTAAGAACTTGAGACCTAACCTAGGACAGTGACCTGTGTGGTAAACAGACTAAGAACTTGAGACCTAACCTAGAACAGTGACCCTAAGAAATTGAGACCTAACCTAGGACAGTGACCTGTGTGGTAAACAGACTAAGAAATTGAAACCTAACCTAGGACAGTGACCTGTGTGGTAAACAGACTAAGAACTTGAGACCTAACCTAGGACAGTGACCTGTGTGGTAAACAGACTAAGAACTTGAGACCTAACCTAGGACAGTGACCTGTGTGGTAAACAGACTAAGAACTTGAGACCTAACCTAGGACAGTGACCTGTGTGGTAAACAGACTAAGAACTTGAGACCTAACCTAGGACAGTGACCTGTGTGGTAAACAGACTAAGAAATTGAGACCTAACCTAGGACAGTGACCTGTGTGGTAAACAGACTAAGAACTTGAGACCTTACCTAGGACAGTGACCTGTGTGGTAAACAGACTAAGAATTTGAGACCTAACCTAGGACAGTGACCTGTGTGGTAAACAGACTAAGGAGTTATAGGTTTCTACTGCTAAAATAGAAAAGTCAGATATCACTATTATCTTAGAATACTGATCAGCAAATAAAGGAAGTACAAAAGACATTAGGACAGACAATAAATAAGATCTATTTATACATTAAATCAGGCATTAAGTACTCGGCCAAACTTTACTGCTAGCCTACCAGACAATAAGATTTGATTATAAAAACCATAAACAGCCAAGTCAATAAGGTTGTATGTTCCAAGTTAAGATCCCATTGCTTAACAATGGTCTTGCCAATAGAACCATTCTGCAAACTGTCATGGAAAAAGGACATAAAAAAGGTAGACAAGTTTTAGGGAAGTTATATTTCCACCTATATTTCTTTGTTACTGATCAGCTTTGCAAAAATACATATGTCATTAGAAAACTTGAGCTGCCTGAGGAGTGACGGATACCTGATCTCTATGACACAGGGTTTTATGTAGTGAAATTTATCATTATCTTTAAAAGAAAACATATGAGTTAAGTTTGTGAAAATTAAGGCAATTGAAAAGAAAGAGATTAAAGTGCAGACAGAAAGTATTCAAATTCTGACCTTCAAGGGTGACCTTTACCTTGAGCCTGCACAGCTACTGCATGGGTTTTGCATATTATTGCCATTCTGAGGTTAATATTTGAGCTAAATTGGAGAAGAATTCAAAATCCTTCAAGGAAAAGTCAACACAAATTTGTATGATATTTGAACTTCAAGGATGACCTTGATCTTGATAAACCAACCAACCAACACAACAAAGTGATTAAAAAGATGTTGTTTTTAAATGAAATGTTATTTTAATAATTTCTTTAAAACACACATCAAATAAATAAATCCCAAGGAGAACTTCACAAAATGAACAATTACTATTTTATGCAAATTACCCACGTGCCAAGACTTTCCTAGTCAATAATAAGTTTCTGCAGACATGTTATTCGTATCTGTGTTTTGTTTAGACTTCAGGATTATACTAACACTTACAGTAATTTGTCAACATTTACAAGGTGAGGAAACCATCAGGTGTCTCTCCATGCATTATTACACTTCCAACACCATGGCGACCTTGGTAGATGTGACCACCAATATTATGTTAGTTACCTGTAGACATTTCTCAAGCAAAGGAATTTAACCTACCTCTTAGCACTGGTGAATCACAACAAAGACTAATGCCACATACCTGGTTAGAGAAATGGACACTACGAAGTGGTAACCAATGGAGACCAATCAACTTGTCCCACAGCATTCCCTTGTTCCATACTTCAATGATCAATCCAGCATCCAATCTGTCTGTCTCACTATAAATATACAGTCACAAAATTATAACAAGACATTACCTACATTTATATGTCTTGATGAAAGATATCAACAGTTTACGCCTGTTAAAGGTATAGATGTTTGCAAGGTTCGGTCACTTACTATGGTCACAGTAATCGACTAGAAAAAAAATTAATTTACTCTAGTCAAACACTCACCAATTGGCCATCATCGAAACTGAACGTGGGCATTGAATTGACTACAGCCAAACAATGGTAAGCCCCCAAATCATGCCATTTTCAAACCATAACAACTATTTCTGCATGATTATTAATGTATGTGTGAAAGATCACAGGTGCCCACCCTACCTTATTGTGTAAAAGAAAAGTGCCCCTCCCTAGCTAATTTTGGAAGAGGATCATAGGTGCCCTCCCTATCTTAATTTGTAAGAGGGTCATAGGTGCCCCTCCCTTAATCTAATTGTGTAAAAGGGGTCACAGGTGCCCCACCCTAGATTATTGTTTAATGGAGGGCCAAAGGTGCCCCTCCCTAGCTTTTTGTGTGCAAGAGGATCAAAGGTACCCCTCCCTAGCTTATTGTGTGCAAGAGGATCATAGGTACCTCTCTCTAGCTAACTGCGTGCAGGAGAATCATAGGTGCCCCTCCCTAGCTTATTGTGTGCAAGAGGATCATAGGTTCCTCTCCCTAGCTAACTGTGTGCAAAAGGATCATAGGTGCCCCTCCCTAGCTTATTGTGTGCAAGAGGATCATAGGTGCCCCTCCCTAGCTTATTGTGTGCAAGAGGATCATAGGTACCTCTCCCTAGCTAACTGTGTGCAAGAGGATCATAGGTGCCCCTCCCTAGCTTTTTGTGTGCAAGAGGATCATAGGTGCCCCTCCCTAGCTATTTGTGTGCAAGAGGATCATAGGTACCTCTCCCTAGCTAACGGTGTGCAAGAGGATCATAGGTGCCTTTCCCTAGCTTTTTGTGTGCAAGAGGATCATAGGTGCCCCTCCCTAGCTCATTGTGTGCAAGAGGATCATAGGTGCCCTTCCCTAGCTTACTGTGTGCAAGAGGATCATAGGTGCCCCTCCCTAGCTAATTGTGTGCAAGAGGATCATAGGTGCCCCTCCCTAGCTTTTTGTGTGCAAGAGGATCATAGGTGCCCCTCCCTAGCTAATTGTGTGCAAGAGGATCAAAGGTGCCCCTCCCTAGCTTTTTGTGTGCAAGAGGATCAAAGGTGCCCCTCCTTAGCTAACTGTGTGCAAGAGGATCATAGGTGCCCCTCCCTAGCTAACTGTGTGCAAGAGGATCATAGGTGCCCCTCCCTAGCTAACTGTGTGCAAGAGGATCATAGGTGCCCCTCCCTAGCTAACTGTGTGCAAGAGGATCATAGGTGCCCCTCCCTAGCTAACTGTAAGCAAGAGGATCATAGGTGCCCCTCTCTAGCTTATTGTGTGAAAGGAGATCATAGGTGTCCCACCATTACTTGTTATGTGAAAAAAGATCTCTACCCTTTGCAGTGAAAGAGGGTCATTATTTTAGCTGCCACTTCCTATGTGTAGCATACTTTAAACATTCAAGTCCAGACATATCAAAATCTAGTATATCAGTATTAAAATTGACTTAAAATTTCTTTAAAACAATGCATACTTAAATCTAATTTCACAACATGACATAACTTTAAAGTACAAAATCAGGTTTTGATTTCAGAATTTAATGAGCATCATTTCCTTATCACAAATGTGTCCATTAAATTCAACAAGCCACTTGTAAAATATTGTATTTTTCCTTTAAATATACAAATGTATATATTTATAAGTAACACAGAGCCATAACCCAAAAATTCCTAGGGGAACAATTTCGTCTTGCATACTTGGAATTTATAAAATTTCAAGAGGTAATACCTTACTTAGTTTTCCAAAAGAGTTATAAAAGAGAGCATCTGACTGACAAACCCAAGAAGACCAAGACGGAATGAATGACAACCTATTTCAATGTCCCCCTTTTGATTTCATCAGCATGTACAACAATTTAAGAATGTAACACAGTATAATCCTTTGTCTCGTGTCTCATAAATTTCATTTTATTTTAAAAGCAAAGAACTACATATAGATTATGGGCTAAACCCATAATGACATAAAATCTATTTTTAGAACAAATAATGTGACTATATTAAATATAACCAATTTTTATATATAAGACACTAATTTCTTTATATTCTAATATTTTATAACCCTAATGAAGACTCTTGAGAGTCGAAACATCGGTTATCATCATTAAATACACTTTAAAATTTATCCTGTGTTGGTTATAAGTTTCCACTTTTCAATTTTCTCAGTAAATTTCATGTATGTTAAAGTTAAGAATCATCTACAAAATCATATTAAGTAAAATTGTTTATTTTATTGTGTAAGACAGAAGCTGCCAATTTAAAGCAGAAGTATCAAACTGATACAGCCATGAATCTATCTCGTCCAATAACTTGAATATCAATAAATATCATATAATGCTACATCTGCTTCCAGACAAATTGACCATGCCTCGCTCACTAAATCCTTCACTTTGTGCAGACTAATCTAACAGTATAACTTCATCTATCTGTAACACTTCAAGTTTTTATTGCAACTATAAATATAAGACTCCAAATCATACACTTTTATCACAAATAACACAAGTTTTACTTGTATAATATAAATTTTACAGAGTTTTAATATTTTTCAAGAAGTAAATTGTCTTCAGATATTTTCCAAGAAGTGAAATGCTGGTAAATTTAAATGAATATCAAACATTACACTACGGAAGCAAATTTTTTTCTTCTATAACCTCATATAACAATCTTACCACACTGTATTCACCAGCTGATTTACTGCTTAGCAACAAACTTTAAAGATTGAAAATTATTATAATTATGGATATTATCTGATATAGGAAGGGAAACAAACAAGCTTATTACCAAGCAATATACCAACATAACTAGTTTCAGATGAACAAAAGAAGTAGGACAGCATTGACAATTTTCAGTGCTTGGTATTATAACAAGAGTTTTTTTAAGTTATAAAGGGTAATAATTCTGTAAAAATCCTTGCTAGAGTTATGGTCCTTGGATAGTGACCTCCTGCTTTCAATAAGTTTGTGAAGTTTCAACCCATTTCCTCCTGTCGTTATGGACATATCAACTTAAATGCAAAATTTTAACCAAAGTGTGACACTCACTCACTGTCCTGGAACAGCAATGGCAATACTTAGATGAGTACAATACAGCTCTCCCTATTCTTTGAATAGTTGAGCTAAAAAACACATGATTTTTTCATAATTCTGATTTGATCCACATGAAAAAAAACCCAATATAAATAAACTCTATACAGGCAATTCCTTTTTCATGGAAAAGTCTATGCATACCAAATATCTATGATAATAGTCAGTAACTAGGCATAGAAAAGAAGAAAAATCTATTTCAAGACTCAGTGGACCTCAAATATTACAAAAATGTAGAAGCCTTGCATGGTTGCAAGGAACATTTCATATCATGAAATCTAAATATTTATTAACAAGAGAAAAATCCTGCGCCCAAAGTTAACACCTTATGATCTTTTCATCAAAATTTTTACATTTGTTATTTTTTAGCTGAAGGAGAAGTCATTTCTTTTATAGCTCTTGCAGAAATTTTATTCAGTAGATGGGAGGGTTTGTTTTTAGCTAACTCACTCACAGAGTAAAGGACCACAATAGGATTAGGGTCACACCTATTGATTGTCATCAAAACTGCCCAGTATTAAATGAGGAGTTGAAATTAATAACTTAGTCCTAATAGACAGGAATGTTTATAACTCTTTTTCACAGTACTAAATATGATCCCTGAAAGATATTACAGGTATCCCCGTTTTCCTTCCATATCTTTAAAATGCATGTTGCCAATGCCAATAGCATTTAATATCAAACATACAAACTGTATCACAGCATCCATGAAAAATACTCAAGCATATCATTCAATATTGTGGATAACAATAATGCTCTTTTTGTACTTCATATTCCATCTACTTCCTTCTAAGGAAAAAAATATCCTGCAAATTTTCCACATTGCTATTTTGTTGATGTGACTAAAAATCCAACAAAACAAGCAAACATTACAAAGCCATCTATATTCCATCCTTTATGAAAACATGTCTTTTTAGTAATTTTAGATCCCATTGATTGCTGACAGAAACAGCTTATAAATAAAGACTTCACTTTTCTGTATTTAATGGTTTTCCAAAACAAAATAGCTGATAATGACTTTAAGAACTGAATTTTTTTTGTAAATTACAGTAATAATTATAATAATGATAATAATAACAATGTTACAGTTTCAAGATGTAAAGTTAGCACTGATACTTGATAAAATAATGAAAAAAATTTAAACACAGAAAAACAGAATCCCTAAAGAAAGCCCAACACGGCAAAATTGTAAAATGTTGCATGTGACAATGAAATACAGAAAAACAAAATCCCTAAAAGTTAAAAGTTAATCCTTAAAGTTAGAAAAGATTTGAATGAGTCTTCTTTTAATACTACAGCCTAAATATGGTTGACCACATACAAACCTGATAACTAGAGCTATGTATTTACAAGCAGGATACAACTACATATTCATGTCATGTTTTAGACAGACTAAATGTATGATAACCAGACCTAATTAAGTTATTTACAACAAAACAGCACAAAGCCTGTAACAAAACAATCTTTCTATACTTCACAAGTCAATTACTAATTCATTCATGAAATCTGACCATTCTTTCACATAGTGGAAGCTTGGGACAAATTTACAGTATTTTAAATTTCTACCAGATATCCTTAATTGCCGTTTTATATAGAGGAATTCCCAACGGAAAATATAAAACAATGGTGAAGTCTTGCTTATATATAAGCATTATTGATTAGACAAAGAATGTTTTATACACAATGAAAGGAATGGGATAAACTGCCTTCTATAATTAAATTTGCATACAGACAACTGTCAATACCACAACTTCTGTATTTATCGAGGTCTTTTTGTTCAATCAATTAATGCACGGGCAAATATTTTCGAGAATAGCTTTAGAAGTGTGTATTTTTTTCTTATTCGATCATACAGTATACAGCACTCAGCTATAAAGAAGTTCCCTTCAAAGCATCGGAAGTGGAGGGCAGATATGATTGGTTATATCTCCCTAGTGGAGATTTCTGTCTGGGTCATGATATTTATGTCATTCATATCACTAATGAATGTTTATTGTGAGGGTACATAATTATTCCGCTATCCCAAATGTCTTTTTTTTTTTCATCACCAGTACAAATGTTGACTGCTGTTAAACATTTTAGACACTGTGAAAAAAGCTGTAAGACTTGTCCACAGAATATTATTCACCATTTCTTAAGTAAAGTACATGTATTAGCTTTAAATAATTTTGTGATAGTCGAAATGACTGGTGATTTTCATAATGCATTTTATTTGCTTTCACATCATTTATTGCATCATGGATATATTTTAGTTACATACCTAAGTTATGATGATGTAGCCTATATCAAGCAGTTCAAATGATGAATTTAAAACAGCTCTTTTTATCATGGAAGAAAAATACCTTTCTTTATGAAAAACAGACATGAAGTAAAATGTGTGTTAGTTTATACCTTACTTCATTTTAGGTTTAATACTTACAACATAAAGTCCTGTTCCCAACATGGGTTGTTTCCCTTGACCAAGATCGTTGTTGATTTGACATTTTGTAACTTCAAGACCACATAAGTGTTGAATCGCTCTGAAAGTATAAGACAAAAACAACTAGAAATGTGTCATCATGCCACGGATGCCCCCGCATGCAGCCAAAATTTCAGATGTTATTATATTTAGTTCCAAATTTGTTTGCACAAATTATTGTTTTCATTTTAAGTTCAAAGCCCTTAAAACTTTTCAATGTTAACACAAACCATTTTCATACAATGTTCAAGGCACTGAAATTATTCAGTCTTATCCTTTTGAAAATAGCATATTTCATATTTGTAGCCAAAATAATGGCTACATACATTTCCACAAAAGTATGAGTGCTGAAACTGAAAGTTCAAAATTTTTTCCAATATTCAAGAGAGATAAGTTTGTCCAAAATCATTGAACCACGACCAAATTCAAACTTAAACTGCCTATTCCTAAGATGTATCTATATTATTTTCAAAGTGAAAGGGACATAACTCTGCCAAAAAACCATCGAACCATGACCAAATTCCAACTTGACCTGCCCATTTCTTTGACATATCCATATGTCAAATTTGAGTTGAATATGTATCACTGTTGGGTAGATAATGAACAGAAACTGTAAATTTCATATTTTTTTCAAAGTGAAAAGGGCATTACTCTGCCAAAAATTATTGAACCATGACCAAATTCGAACTTGACCTTGGCATTCCAAAAAAATATCCATACGTCAAATTTGAGTTGAATGTGTTGTACTGTTGGGGAGATAATAAACAGAAACTGAAAATTTCATATTATTTTCAAAGTAAAAGGAGCATAACTCTGCCAAAAATCATCGAACCATGACCAAATTCAAACTTGACCTGTACTTTCTCATGACATATCCATATGTCAAATTTGAGTTGAATGTGTTGTACCGTTGGGGAGATAATGAACGGAAACTGAAAATTTCATATTATTTTCAAAGTAAAAGGGGCATAACTCTGCCAAAAATCGTTGAACCATGACCAAATTCGAACTTGACCTGTATTTTCTCATGACATATACATATGTCAAATTTGAGTTGAATGTGTTGTACCTTTGGGGAGATAATGAACGGAAACTGAAAATTTAATATTATTTTCAAAGTAAAAGGGGCATAACTCTGCCAAAAATCATCGAATCATGACCAAATTCGAACTTGACCTGTATTTTCTCATGACATATCCATATGTCAAATTTGAGTTGAATGTGTTGTACCGTTGGGGAGATAATGAACGGAAACTGAAAATTTCATATTATTTTCAAAGTAAAAGGGGCATAACTCTGCCAAAAATCATCGAACCATGACCAAATTCGAACTTGACCTGTATTTTCTCATGACATATCCATATGTCAAATTTGAGTTGAATATGTGCAACCGTTACTAAGATAATGAACGGAAACTGATGATGACGGAATGACAGAATGACGGAATGACGGAAGGACGGAATGACGGAAGGACGGAACAGGGTAACACTATATGCCCCGGCCATTACATGGCGGGGGCATAAAAATTGATGTATTGAAATTACTTTAAAGAATATACTGCTACCTTTAACTAGACCTATCACTGAAGGTGATTAATACCCCCACCAGCAACTTTTTGAAAAATAAGTAGTCTGAAGAAAAATTTCAACACAAACTATCAACTGTGTACAAAGAAATATTTCAATTAATTGTAATCCCAACTGGGGTCTCCAAATAAGCTTGCTTTTCACAAAGTTTGATTACAATATCTCATTCCTAACTCTAGTTATTGTCGGGAAACCATTTTTCTATTTTTAGGAATGGTGACCTTGACCTTGACGCAAGGGGGTCCAAATGCAATACCAACCCAGGTCTTCATATAAGCTTGCTATACACCAAGTTTGATAACAATATCTCATTCCTAACTGTAGTTATTGTCCGGAAACCATTTTTCTATTTTTAGTAACGGTGACCTTGACCTTGACCCCAGGGGGTCCAAAAACAATACCAACCCAGGTCTTCATATAAGCTTGCTATACACCAATTTTGATTACAATATCTCATTCCTAACTCAAGTTATTGTCCGGAAACCATTTTTCTATTTTTAGTAACAGTGACCTTGACCTTGACCCCAGGGGGTCCAAAAACAATACCAACCCAGGTTTTCATATAAGCTTGCTATACACCAATTTTGATTACAATATCTCATTCCTAACTCAAGTTATTGTCCGGAAACCATTTTTCTATTTTTAGTAACGGTGACCTTGACCTTGACCCCAGGGGGTCCAAATGCAATACCAACCCAGGTCTTCATATAAGCTTGCTATACACCAAGTTTGATTACAATATCTCATTCCTAACTGTAGTTATTGTCCGGAAACCATTTTTCTATTTTTAGTAACGGTGACCTTGACCTTGACCCCAGGGGGTCCAAATGCAATACCAACCGGAGTTTTCACATAAGGTTGCTATATACCAAGTTTGATTACAATACCTCATTCCAAACTCTAGTTATCGTCCGGAAACCATGATGTGGACCGACCGACGGACCGACCGACCGACCGACCGACAAGCTGACTCCTATATACCCCCCCTAAACTTCGTTTGTGGGGGTATAACTAATGACCTCATATGTCTCCACCTGTAAATCATTAAATTGTAACCACCAATGAGATTCCTAATTAACCACTGTCTTTAGAGACCTTATCTGTGACAAAATATAAACAACAGCTTCTTAAATTACAGCTAACAAGTATGATTTTTTTTTTCAAAATCTTCTAACAATACAGGTCAGACAGCCTTGAAGCCTTATCTCAGACACTGCAGCTATTTTATTGCAAAAAAATAGTAAACATCAGTTGTCAATGGCTGTCCATTAGTTATATTGAATTTTTCGCTACAGCAGTTCCAAAAGGAATATGGATGTGCCATCCCTGTAATATGCTGAGTAAAAAGCAAGTGAACTGTTTCTTCCTAAACATAAGAAATGTATCTGAAATTGATTCATGCTTAGTACTGTTCACAAAATGGTGCATAATAGAAAGCCAACATGTCTAGTGAATGCCTCATTATTATTCTCCAAAATTGCAGACATTTAGAGTGCATGCTTTTCAGAATTGAATCAATCAATGAAATTAAATCCCACAGCAGAAATAATTTCCAAACCTATTTAATCTTTGAAGTTTAAAGTCCATTAGATCACGTCCCTAACAAGACAGCTGGTTTCACAAAAACTCAAAACTAATTCCATTCTTCCACAGGACCTGCTTCTCTATAATTATTTCATTTGAAAGATGCAAATTTAAAGATGGATTCTAATGCAGTTTCTGAAATCCCAGCATTTCAAGCCATTATAGACTTTGTGTAAGTATAGTATAGCATCTTGGTAAGAGACTGAACAAATCTGTTCTGTCTATATTCTAATAAATAAATGTTAAATACATCAGAGATCCTACATTTACAAGATTACTTTGCCTTTAAATCTGCCTTACAAAAGCATAACCATTTACACACCATTAAATTCTGCCAAACCTTTCTTTTAAAAGTATATAAAATATAACATTAGTAGCATGTAAATTTCAATCTGAAATATGTGAAATTTAAAGCTAATCAACCTATCCTTTATTATCCAGGCAGGAGTGAATGAATTTATTTTCTTTTTCACAGATCTATACTTTTTTTAGTTCCGTATCTCCTGGCAATGTAAGTGATGTCATTTAAAACTGACATGGCAGATTAAATTATTCATGTATTTAATCCATGTATTGTTCAAACAATGAGACTTTCACAAACAAGAGCCACTGCCAAGCGGAGACAACACTCAACTTTTCCTTATTTCTTACATTAAACACGTCAGAGAATGAATATTGTAGTATTAGGAATGCTCCATACAAACATCATTTTCTTGTACAAAATATATTCAAAATTTCATTTTTTGATATTTACAGTCAAGGTCATTGACAGATCAAGGCATTTTAAATTATTCATCAAGTTGGTTTTGTCATGAGTGTTGTTTCGTTCCAATTATTGCAGTATGAATCAAATCAGTCCATAATAATTAATAATAATATATAATAAAGTTATGGCAATTTATGTCAGCTAAATACAATTAATAATATGACCTTGACAGTCAATGTCATTTATAGGTCAAGGCCATTGTTTTATTTTTTCAAATTGTCAATTCTGTCCAAAATTTTTTTTTTTTTCAAGTATGAATCATATCGAAAATGAACACAAAAGTTTTTAAAAATTTTGCTAAATCAATAATTTGACTTTGATGGTCAATATCATTTAAGTTCAAGGTCAGATTTGAATTATTCAACATGCTGCTTTTTACATATGTGTTTTCTTTTACCTCCAAATATAAATCAAATCTATAAATAAACACAAGCTACTGACTCAGGTTATGTCCAACTTAGGTCATTTTATGACTGACTAGACTAATAGCTTGAATTTTTTTGGAAAAAAATCTTGCTATAAAAAAAAATAATAAACTCAAGTTAATCTTACTTAGAAGCTGAAAAAATAGAAACCATAAACATTTTGAAGGGGTTCTAATGATTAGACTTTTTATTGATTGGACAATAAACGGCACATCAAAAATAAAAACTATAATACTGCAATTCAACAATATGTTTAATTTGAAACTAAACAAATAGTACCTCAAGTAAAAAAAAAAAATCAAACTTCTCAATAAACAGCTAATGTGTAACAAAATGCTTAGGATACACAAAGCACCTAGATTTTAATACAACAACAGCCTCAATTAGATCAATTAAACAAATAGTTAAACAAACTGTAATGAAAGCCTAATGTATCAGGCCACTCATCAATTAATGGAATATAGACCTACTCTGACTATACATTATACGATATGTTACATTGATATTTTACTGTGATCATATTATAAAATCGTTCAAACACCAGCAAGGCAAACCTTAAAAGCTATTTCTTCAACAAACAAACTGATTGTACATGCACTTTTTTTAATCGAGCTATTATGTTTCCCCGTTCTTTTGAAGAAATGTATTGATTTTGTAATTTCCGTCTGTCTGATCAAGAATCAGTCATCTATCTGGGCAA